CACACACACACACACACACACACACACATTCTGTTGAAAATCTGTGTATAACTTTTTTTTTTTTTTTAGAGACAAGGTCTTGCTCTGTCACCCAGGCTAGAGTACAGGCTATTGTGCAGTGGCCTGATTATAGCTCACTGTAACCTTGACCTTCTGGGCTCAAGTGATCCTCCCACCTCAGCCTCCCAAGTCACTGGAAATATAGGCACATACCACCTATGTCTGGCTATTTATTTATTTATTTATTTTTGGTAGAGACAAGTTCTCTACTCATCATAAAAGTCTTCAATCCTCTTTGTCAGCTGAGGAGAAGGAAGTAGAGGAGGGGTTGGTCTTGCTGTCTCAGGGATGGCAGAAGCAAAAGAAAATCCACATATAAGCGCACCCTCGCAGTTCAAACCCAGGTTGTTCAAGGATCAGCTGTAACTAGAGCCGCAAGAACTTTTTGGAAGTTGAAGTCTGATTGCTCACCTAAATTCTGGAAATAGATAATATTAAATAAAAATTTGTGAAATTTAAACTTTTTCAGTGTTTGCCATTGCCATTAGTGATTAATAATCCAAACAGAAACTTCTTTATATATTTAATTGCTTTTTGTTGGCTATTGTATAAAGTAATTCTGAATGGGTATTTTTAATGTTCCCTCTAGCCCAAAGAAAGGCCCTCAAAGTTCTCCTCTCATGAAATAAAAGTATAGCTATCAGAGTGCCAGGGAAGTAAGCTTACATAACAGTTGACTATTTGTTTCAATAGGAATATGATGAAGAATGGGCTAAGAAAATTCAGAGTGAAAAGTTTCGTTGGCACAACTCTCAGTGGCTAGAGATGGTAGAGAGTCGTCAGATGGATGAGAGTGAGCAGTACTTGTATGGGGATGATCGAATTGAGCCATACATCCACGAAGGAGATATTCTCGAAAGACCTGACCTTTTCTACAATTCAGGTAAGGTGATAACCAAAGCAAAAATAGAGGGATTTTGGTCTGCCATCTTTGCACATTCCCAAGCTTTATAAGTGCTGCTTGTAGTTATATAAATGGTCTTCTGCTAATTATTTCAGATGTAATATTTATATACAATAGGCAAACCTATTAACTCACCATTAATTTTTTCCATGTTAGTCTTTGATGTAATCTCCAAAAAAATGGCTGTAGCCAGGAAAACTAATTGCTCTTAGAAGAAGCTTATTATTAGCCAGAATGTGTTAACTTAAACTAACAACTTCAAGATTTCTGACTTCTGTTAAAACATGTAATCATTTTCTTTATTCTACATTTATTAAATGTATACTTTATCAATTTATGTTTTGTTTTCCAATCTATTTAATCTCAACAGTTTAATTTTGCCATGGTTTTGCTTTAGTTTCAAACTACTGAACTATTTGGTGACTATTGGGAAGATTTAGACACTTTATAGCAATAGCATCCTCCTAAACTCTGCTAGTGTTTTCAGAGCCAAGCATGATAGTATGCGCCTATAGTCCCAACTAGTCAGGAGGCTAAGGTGGGAGGATCACTTGAGCCTAGGAATTCAAATCTAGCCTGAGCAACACAGAGAAACCCTATCTCTTTAAATAACAACAATAACAACAGCAACAAAAAAAGAAACTCTGCTTAGCATTTTTAAGGTAAAATTTAATATTTGCATAAATCTTACATATATTATAACCTTGTTGATTCTGCAATGCTACCTTTTTCCAGAGATGAGTTTGTCACAAAGATTGGCAAATTTTTTCATATTCTGGCTTTTAATGTTTTCTACTATTGCCAATATTAATATCACTTCATTGAAGTCATTTAGTTGAGAAAAGGAAAGAAAGGATTTCTGATTAAGATCTGTCACAAGCTGGAAATAAAAGGCATTAAAGTAATTATATCTGAATTAATGGCTCACCTTTTTTTCCTACTGTGTATTTTTACTATGTATTTATTAAGTGTTTTCAATATAAGTTTTCTAAAAGCATGTATTGTCTCATCAAAACAATTTGTGTGTGATCAATGATTGATTCCATAAATTAACATCACATCTAATCACTGTACCCACATTAATAATACCATTCACATATTCAGTCATGTGTTTTCTTAATTGTGTATTGTGCAGATTTTCCATAGGTACAATGTATTATTTTTATATTTGATATAAATACTTGATCTTGGAAAACATATGCTTTACTTTGAAAATTGAATAGATTTCTTCCTAACTGAACTTTACAGTAGTTATGAAATGCTGCTTTGTGTTTCAAACCAGATGGAGTAGATCATTAATTTCAACCAACCAGAATTTCTTAGTTCAGTAATGGCAAGCAGCTGTTCCTTACATATTCAGTATTCATGAACTAAGATGATGTAAAATATATATGATATTCCTGGAATCAAATTTCTTGCTTTGAAGGTTGATAGCTACCTTTCAGCGTGAATCAATTACCACTTTCCAAAACTGCATAAAACTATTAACCACCTCAGTGTTCAACTTTGTTGTTTTAATACAATTAAAATTTCAGAACAGAGTTCTGAAAAGTTAGACCACATTTCCAAAATTAATTCATTTAAATTAACCTATTAAATGAAAATGCTAAATATTTTTGTGAGATACTTTATAATTAAAATGTATAACTTATGCTTTTGTGAGAAAGTTGAACTATGTATATTTATATATTATAATTTAGAAACAGCAGCAGCTGATGGAAACATAAAGTATTTGAGGGGTGTAATATTATTGTTAAGTATCTTTGTAGTTTTTTTTTAATACCTGTAGCCTGATGATATGATAGACACTTGACAGTGGAAATTACATGCTGTGAATTTAAAGATATAGTTCTTATAGTAAGCTATCTATATTTTTTTAGTTTAAGAATTTTTTACCTGCTTCATTTTCCATGAATTGTCCATGGACTAAATGAATCTCAGTAGCATTTCTTGATATTTCTCATGTAAATCTAGAAATGTCAGCCTCTGTTCATTTGTCATATGCAATTCTATCTTCAGAAACATCAGATAAATTTGTAGTATTGCGGATTTGTTTGAATGCTTGAGCCATCTTATTAAGCCTCTGGGTATCCATGAAAGTTTACGCTGTTTACAATAAAAGCAGCTTTAGTAGTTTTTCAGCCAGAGGTTAAACTAAATGGCCTTAATTCCCTGAGTCTTATCTTTTACTTTAAAATGAAATGACATTTGCTGCTTCCTAGTCATTAGTATCACCCTCTATATTTTCAAACTATTAAATATCAGTAAAATGTAGCTGTTTATTACTTGCTTTTTAAAAAAAAAATTTTAGTGTTGTCATGAAATAGGAAACTAGCATCTCTTTTAGTTACAGTATTTTTAGAGTCTAAAATTATTATGATTGTAATCACGGATTAATTTCCTTTGCTATCATAAAAATAAAGCTGTATTGCTACTATACATTTCTAAATGATATTTTTTAATTTTTTTCTTGCTTTATTAATTGTGGTGATATTCTTAAGTATATGAATATATTCCTGTAATATGAAGCTTAAGATGGTTTGTTTCTGTCTCAGAATCATTATAAAAACCATGGTTTTTATTTACCTGTATGTTTCTGTGATGTATCTTATCAAGTATAGCCAAATACAGATTTGTCATGTTAGTTATTTTTCTCATTTTCTGCATTATTGGCATCTATTTTCTTCTGCAAATTCACAGTACTTTTTGCTAGTTCAACAAAGATCCCAATATTATATTCATTTGACTGTAAGAAATTAAAATAAAGCCAAACGTGGTAGCATGTGCCTGTCATCCCAGCGACTCGGGACACTGAGGCAGAAGGAAGACTCGGCTGAGTCCAGGAGTTCTGGCCTGTAGTGTGCTCTGCCTATGAGGTGTCCACACTAAGTCCAGCATCAGTATGGTGACCTTCCAAGGGAAGAGGGGACCACTAGGTTGCCTAAGGAGGGGTGAACTGGCCCATGTTGGAAACAGTAGGTCAGTAGTGGGGTTACACCTGTGAATGAATAGCTGCTGTACTCCACCCTGAGCAACATAACAAGAGCCTGTCTCATAAATAAATAAATAAATAAATAAATAAATAAATAAATAAATAAATAAATAAATAAATATAAAGTTTGTTTCAGTAACAGTAAATAAGAAGATATTGAGTGTTTGTTTTTACTTTTATTCACAATGTTTATAAGTCAGTTTTTTATCTGGCTTTCAGAAATCAGAAGGTTGATAAATTACCTATGCTGGCAATAAATGTGCTTTGATCTTTCTCACTGTTCTAGTTATATAGTTCATTTTGTTCATAATTGTCTTTGTCATCATCATTAGTTGGAGCGTCTCAGAATGGTGTGCTTTAAAAAACAATGGTCAAAAGGTTTCATATAATTTAGTAACCTAAATGTGTGTAATACTCTACAGAGTGCTCTGGTGTATATCATCTCTGTTTTCTGTTTGTGTTCTGGTCATTTAAATGTTACATGAAATTCTTTGGTTATTTTTTGCTGTCTTTGAAACAACAAGGGTAGAATAGGAGCTTAAGAAGGACACTTATAGACTATCTGGAGTTTGTAAGTTAGTATTAACTGGAGTATTATATCTGGAGTTAGTATTTCCCTAAAATAATTAATTTTAGATGCACAATGCTGAGAAACAAAGTTATTTCCAAAGAAGTTGGGGTACTTGAGATGAGGCTTTAATGAAAATGTTATGCCTCATTCTAGTGAAGAAAGATTGCTCATATGTCAGAGTTGCCTAACCTTTTTGTCAAGCCTTAAAGGGCACTGTAGAAGCTGCAGTTTATTGAATCAACTGCAATGCCGTAGGATAATGAAAAATGAACTTCAGAAGTATAAATTTACTTTTTTTATTTCCTATAAGATTTGGCTTATTATATTATTAGACTACTTGTATTCTGAGTTTAAAAATTTCTGTCTGAAACTTTTTTTCCACAAGAAAATTCAGAAGAGATCTGGCTGTATCTTTAAACTCAAGAATTTTTAGTTTGATTTTGTTTGATGATCTGCCTGTTTGTAGTTCCCTGTATTTTGTTTATCCTTTTGCTACTCACTGTTCCTTTTGAAGACAATGAGAGCTCTGAACCAAGAATGAGATGTTGAGAATTTGATTGGGCTTTTGTTTAATTTCTCCCTAATCTCACTCTCTCTTTACTAGGTCATATTTCATAAATATAAACTTTTTAAACATAATTCAAGTATCTTTTCATTTGGTTGTATTTATATCTGAAAGATTTGAGTGTTAAATTCTTTTTTTCTACCAGCATGCTAAATACCTTTGCATTTGTTTTCAATGTGTGATACATGGTTTATTTTGGCATTTTACTTAGTTTTATTCCTCTAAAATTGGTAGGTTTCTTAAATCCTGATCCTCAATTATTTTTCATTTAACAGAGAAACTTGTTGATTTTGTGATCTTAACATTGTTAGTTTTAGTCACTTTCACAAAATCTTAGCTTCATATAAAATTGATTTTTTTTTAGTTACTTTACTTTCAATCTGTGGTGCCTTGGTATTTCACGATTTCATTTTTTATAACTTTTCAGTGTTTAGCTGGTCTTTTATAGACTTTTTAACTTCTAGTGGAAGTAAAAATTGGATTAAATATTACTGACATTTTTCATGGAAACTCAAACTATTTTAAAGTTAGTAAAGTAATAATAAAACAAATGCCAAAGGTATCCATTAACAATTCAACAATTAAATAATAATTTATTAATATATGATATGTAACAAATGGATATATGTATTAAATTAGTAGCATGAGAGTCTTATGGAAATACAAATTACCTCATTTATTCATTTTTCAGCTCTATTAGTTTTACGATTCACTCAATGTTTTAATATGCTTACTCTTCAAACCGATTTTGTCATTTAAATCCTACTTATCTTTCAAGACTCAAATTAGTTAAACTTCTGCTTCCTCCCCTCCCTCAGTAGGATTTTTAAACCCTGTGGAACACAATAATCCCTCTATAGCTTTCACTGCCTTTATCACTTATTCAGTACTTATACCCATTCCTGATGAATATCATTTATTATACTATTTAATTGCATCACAAGTGTTTGTTTTATATTTCATTTAAGCTAAAATACTTAAAAGTAGAGATTATGTATTATAATTTTATATATTTCCCATAGGACCTAGCATAGTATTATGCATGTGCAATTATTTGGTGACTGAATAATTTGCCTATACTGTATGCCAAATTTATAAACAATGTGGGGGGTACGACCTAGCTAACGCTTATCCAGAGGCTATTCAACAACTCAGCATACTTTCAGAAAAGGAAACTTTGAAAAACCTCAGAGCTACACAGCCATTATAGAAGCCATATAGTAAAGTATTTGCTTTATGCATTGGACAGGCCTGAAGCCATCACTTAGATGTGTTTTCCTCAGATCCTTTTAATTCTTATGAATAATTCTGTCAAAAATAGATCACCTAGATTCTGAGATAGGAGCAAATGAGAAAGTAGTGTCATTGTAAAATCAGCAAAAAGTAATAACAAAGACTTAGGAAAAGAAGCACTTACGAGCAAAGAAAAAGAACTCAAAAAACATAGTAGTGTAGAGCCATTTAGCATAGATTGTCAAATATATCTGATAACCTTAAGGACTATATAATAATTAATATTTATAATGAAGATTGAGCGATCAAGGAATATTTAAGTTATACACAGTATACACTTTTAAGAACATAGGGAATATAAAATATATGACGATTTTTAATGTAAGTTTGTGTGTGTTTTAATATTTTCCATTTAAACTGTCAAGCATTGTTTATAAACTCACTTATTTGATATCTCTAATTCCCTAATCATGCCACACAAATGAAGCTGTCTGGGAATAAAATGTGAAATATACTAAAATAGTGCCCTTTACTAACACCAGGCTATTTTATTGCTTCTTGTCTTTATTAATGCTATTTCCTTAGCCTGGACCATCCTTACTGTCCCTCCCTACCTTTCCTTACCTTTTTATCATTTTCTGTGTCTGTCTTCTCCACAAGAATGCAAGACCCTTGAAGGCAGAGATTCTTACTCATTTCTGTAACTAGTATGGTACTCAAGACATAGTAGATGCTCAATGAATTTTGAATTGTGCTGAATGGTTATGAACAAAACACTTAAGTACATGTGGTCTTCTGTTCGTACTTCTTGAGAGAGCAACAGGTCATGCTAACATTTTTCTTTCTAGATTAAATATACAGGTTTTCTTATGATGTTGCATGATAGAATAGTTTCCTTTTTATTTCCTCCAAATATGTTTCACTAGTTGCCATTTTCTTTCTTTCTAGATGGATTAATTGCCTCTGAAGGAGCCATAAGTCCAGATTTCTTCAATGATTATCACCTTCAAAATGGAGATATAGTTGGGCAGCACTCATTTCCTGGCAGGTAAACCATGTTCCAAGAAAAATCTAATGTATGGTATTTCCTTTGCATTTGAAAAGCTAAAATTCTCTCCCCATTTCCCTATCTTTTTCATTAAGGGGGTGGGGAGACCCTCAATCTTTTCAAAAACATGTTTGATTTAAAATTAACTTATGAAGTCACATTTTCTGTGTAAAACAAAATGGAAATCATATATCTAAAAAAAAATGCTTCATCACTTTGGAAAATATAGACCGTCTATTGAAACAGGTAATACTTTTGCCAAATTAATGAACACAGATTGTTTCCTGAGTACTTTCCAAAGCCAATAAAATATAGAATGAGAACACAAGACATATATTTTAACAATTATGCAGACATCACTGTTTTTAAAAGTTGATGCTTTGATTAAATTGAAGACTTTTCTTCCCTAGATAACATTCAAGTAAAATATTTAAGGGAAAAAAAAAAATCTGTCAGGCCAGCATTGTTCTACAATTATAATAAAGTTCCCCACAGAATATATCCAGCCTCATTACCAATGATGTCATAGATTTTTAAAGTCTTGCCAGAAAGTGTAAACAATATTTGCCTCTTTATATCATTCCTAGAAATGTGATATTTTAATTTAGCCCGACTCTGGAAATTTCACATTAAGCTAGTCCAGCAAATAGGTATAGTCTTATTTTCCCTTCAGCCTATTTATTTGTTCCTTTAAATTACTGATTTAATTTCTTCTTCTAAAATTCTATTTTTCATTAGCATAAGCTATTTTCTGTTTGGAAGATATATTCATGTATTTTTTAACGAACAGTACAATTGTGACGTATATGCTGTAACTCTTAATGATTACTTTTAATAAGCTATTCTAATCCAATATTAATTATAATACTTTCAGCTGTTATTGATCATCTATTGTATATATTCTGTTTTACAAATGTTCATCTTATTTATTTTAACATGCACAGCAACATTTTAAAGCAAGTTTTATTATATCTGTTTTACTGATGAAGAAAATCAAGAATCTAAACTTTAAGTGACCAGTTCACACAAGTAGGATGATAGAGCAAAAATTTGAACTCAGGTCTATATGTCACCAAAGCTTATGTTCTTTCCAATGTAATATGCTGCCTAATATGGAGGAAACAAAACATACTACAGTGACTTTTAAGGGTTTTTTGACCACAATCCACATTTAAAAAAATACCTTTCATATTGCTACCTAATGCACATATACATATTTGTTTATATTATATACATTTATCTACCTGTATCCATATATGTAAAACAAAAGTTTCTTATAGTGATACTCTTACCTGTAATGCAAAATGCTATATTGTTTTATTCTATTCTGTTTCATTTTTAAAATGCAGATTGCAACCCACTAAGTTGATTTCACACTCACTGGTGGTCAATGACGCAAAGTTTAAAAGCATTATAGAAAAACATAGGAGTGTTACATGAAATGTGATAACCTTATGTGTAGATCAGTGTTCTTTAGTGGCCTTTAAGTAACTAATAGCAGTTTAGAAATAGTTTTATCCACATACTACATTTTCATGGTAAGAAACACCTTGCCTTAGGAAATAAAAGCTAAACATGATTAAATATTACAAAGCATATGGCTTTTGATTATTTCTGATACGTCTGGCTATATTAGCTGTACTTATTTAAATAGAGCCTTTGTTTAATCATTGTAAATACTGTATTGTGTCATGTGACAATTCGTGATATAAATGTTTTCTGAAACATAATTGGAAAAGAAGAAATTATTTGGTTATGTGATCTTAATATTTATATCAAAGAAATTTGCCTATAGTATTTATGAAATTAATTACTCTGCCATTTATATTTCACTATGAGCAAAAACATTATTTTTGTATCTCCTGCAGATACTGCCAATCTAGAAAAAGCAGACTGCTGCAAATCATGCATTAAGAAAGACTTTACTTTTTTTTAATGACTTTTAAAAAACTAAACATTTTCCCTAAAATTGAATATCCAAAATATTTTTTTTGCTCAATTCAGGAAAATCATTCATTTCTGGATTTCAAAAATGGTCACGTTATAAAACAATAAAGATGTTTTGAAAGATATGTATATTCTATGACTAAGTTATTTACTTGGTCCAAAGATTTTAGGATTTTGTTCCTCAGTTCTATTAATAGCTTTTTTTAAATGACTTTAGGAAAATCCTTTTACTTTTGTGCCTTCAGTTCCTTTTTAAGGTGAAAATATTTAAGTAGCTTCTTTTACTTCGTAAAAGACATCACAATAACATTGATTTTAAAAGATTAGTTAGTAAAACCTGTAGGCTATTTTTCAAATCAAAAGAATGATATGCTTATTTATTATAATCATTTTGATTTGAGAATTGTTTGCCTTTTAAAAAGAACTTCCACTGAGAAAGTTAAATCTTTCATCTACTGTCTTCTGTAATTTTTCAGTCTTTAAGTCACATGATTAATAACTATATCACTTTTTTAGAAGAAATAATTTACAATGAATTTCCTCAAATTTTTGTAGGTAATAGATCAAATGAATAGGGACTCTAAATTGTGTCAGCAGAGATACAGAGTATATAATATAGGCAAAGTTGTTCGTGTCTACATTGTTTGATTGACTTACTTAGAATAATTTACTTGGAATAATCAAAAGTGATAGCTTTTATTCAATTATTTTTGGTTAAGATTCTCCTTTTAATTGAACTTCTAGGCTCTTCTTTGACTGTAACAAACTAAACCATGGACCTTACATATGGCACATTTTTAATTCTGCAGAGATTTAAGTATTTTAAATTGTTAAATAACCCATTCACACATTTTGTAATGATAATTTAGCTGCATAATGTCCCAGATGTGAATTTTTAAATTAATGACCACCTTTTAGTTTCTGACATCCAATAGGTAAATTTAAATCTTGTTAGATTAAATAACACTGACTAAAAATATTATTTCTGAAATTTATTTTAACTGATTTTAAGCAAAATAGAAATATTTTCAAGAAATGCACATTCATTAAATAGAACTTGTTGAATTCCTATTCTTCATCTTCACAGTGAAGATGAGACTAAGCAGACTTAATATACAACCTGGAGAATTTGAGTTAACTATGAAAGAAAAATGTCTTAATTGAATTTTAAATATTGAAAAATATGATTCTCTAAATACCTTTTAAAAGAGAAAATGTTATCTATTTAGAAATTTTTCTTTCCTTTAAATTAGGGAAATGGTCCAGGTGACTCAAAAATTCTTTCCCTGCTTCTTTATCAAACGTCTGATAAATAAGCACTGTCAAATTATCTGGAAAAAGAATAATAAAAAATTAATGTATAAAAGGTGAACTTTTATCATTACCATTGTTTTTAATGGTACCATTTACCATTGTTTTTAATGATTTAAGTAACAATAGTATGTGAGATGAAACATGAAAAAGAATATGACAGTGCCAAGTGGCTTACTTGTCAGTCAGCTCATGGCATTTTGGTTTTTGTTGTTTAACGTTTCAGTTTGAGTAAATTCATGTAAAGTAGATGATCTCAAGTCTAAGGTAAAGAATAAGGTAAAGAATAAATTGTTAATATGCATGACATAAAGTTTTTTTAATCGTTCAAAGAAAAATTCTCCATTTCTTCCTGAAATGACAAAGTTTAGTAGTAGGACAAATGTGTTAAAAATCTGAGAAACTAAGCCAGGTTTAGAAAAGTGTTTAAACAGTTGAAATTGGTGTTTTTCTTAAAATCTGAGTCAGGGAGTCCCTCTTAATCAGAATGCCTGCATTTTTGTAATATAGCAAGGCAGTTTAATTGGAAACAGTGAAAACTGTTAAACTCATCTATCCCATTCTACAAGAGCGACTGGATGTTTGATAAAATAGATACTGGCAGTTGGACAGCGAATCCTGGGTTTTAGACATGTGTCACTATTGGTTTGAACCTCTTGGCGCCAGGATTTCCCGACATTTAGAGCTAATGCAAAATGCATTAGGGCTCTAAGGCATTAGCTATAGAGTTGCCAATCCCAGAGCGTCAAATGTAAATCTTCTCCTCCCCAAATCTGTACTGGTGTTAGAAAGTAAAGTGGAACTCGCTATTGAAGCTAATTAAAAATAATAGGAGCAAGACTAACTTTTTTTCTTGTTATATACCATATATCCACACCATATTTTTGGACCGTTTTTTTATTATAACTTTTACTTTTCAAGACTAACAAGAACCTCATGTTAAGAGTATTTTTAAACTGCTGCCAGCTTTTACAAATCAGTTTTTGTTGCAGTAAAAATGGTCCATTTTTCTTTTATAGGAATCCAATTTTCATAAACTGAAAAAAAAATTGCAGAAACTGCTTAAGTTTCCTTGGGGCTTTGAAAAATATTTTTCACAGAGCCTGGAGTTCTTCTTTGTGGTTGGCAGTGATGTCATTTACTGACCGTTTCAGTGGGGTCCAAGATGAACTAGATGTGTACATTATCTTAGCCATCTGATCCTTACACTTTCATTTTCTATGTGTGTGTTATAGCCTGCCTCTTTTTGTTCTTGCTTACAATACTTTAATATTAACTTTTTTGTGCATTATACATATTATATGCTATACATATATACCTTCTATTTTGGTCTCTTTTTTTTCAAACATTAAATCACAGTTGAAATGTTAGTTGTAATCTAAAAAATCATACTGAATAGAACAAATTATTTCTTTAAAATATAAGAAACATTTTATACAAATGTTTAAATGTATGATTTTTCCTAAGTCTAGAATTCTACATGTACCAATTAGACTTATTTCTTTAGCTGTAAGACCACCAATTTATACTCAGCTATTTAGTTTAACTCAGCTTTTTTTCTGTTAAGAAAAGCAACCTCAAAATTACATATTCTCTGTCTAAAAGGTATTGTGTAGTTTTTACAGAAGTACATGTTATTACTATTAATAGAACTACATGTTATGAGTTTATTTCAAAGCAGCTATTCAAAAAATATATCAAATTGTTGTCCATTTTACAATTCTTAATTTGGCCAAACAAGG